CACCTGTCATGGTGGGGTTTGTTGGATTCCTGCCACCAAACTTAAATAGAAAGATCGCCGCCCAGTTTTGCGGAGCATTGCAGCAGATTGCTAGTGCAAGCCTTGTCTGTGCTGCTAGGTAGCGGTAAAGTAAAGCGTTAGTACAATGGTTGTGAGGTCCCGCCTGCAACTTTAACAGCTACCGTTTTCCAAAGCTAGCTACCGCTAGAGTGAGAACAAACCATTACTTGTAAACTCCAGGAGGAGTCCGTGGGTTGGTGGTGGGATTTTAATAGTAAAGGTAACGCACCAAGCAGTGTGCGAGTGGTTGCGCGGGTGATTCCACCGTGAGTGTCGATCATTCAGTTAGTAGTTGCAGTTGGACTCACGTGTTGGCACCCATGTTTCGAGCAAAGACAAACAGCCATGTTTTTTCAGCTCTTTCCTCACACGTTTATGGGATTACAGAACCTCATGAACTCCACAAAGATATGATTGGGCCATGTTAGATCCGCTCGATCATGCAAGTCATGAGCACTAGACATCTACCCTTGGTTTTTGGTGCAGTACACCTTCTTCCCTCATTCAAAGCCAACGGTTTTTGAAAACAAACAAGAACGGTGTCAATGTTGGAAAAATTTTCAGCGCCTTCTGTCAGTTGACCAGCTTCGAATCACGAGGTGAACATGCAGGCTCGCGAATATTGTGGGTCTGTCGGCATCAAGCACAAACCGATCATCCTGTCGCACCACATGATGTCACTCAGCACGAGCAAGGCCAATCAGAGTTACATGCCGAGCCCAGCCCCGTCTGAGGATGGGTTTGAAGGCTGGTCAAGCCAAGATGTCCAAGAGCGATCCAGATTCTGCCGTTTTCATGGAGGACCTCAAGTGTGCGAATTCAGGGTTATCGGGGCGAAGGTGGATCTCAGGACACACCAGAAGATGTCCGACGCAAGATCACCAACGCAGCCTGCCCACGTGCCATGGCAAGCATGGCAGAGGTATGGCAGAGCTGAGAAGTTTCTAGAGCCATAAGATCATAAAAGAGCAAAAGGCGAGAAGGAGAAAAAGACCTCCAAGCAGAGCGAGCTCACGGGTGAGACGGGGACGGGGGACGAGTGGGTGCTGAACAATCCCGTGATCGATTACATCCGCTGCCCTGCAGCATTCAAGCATTTGTGTTGCATTCACGGATCTTGCAAGACTCAACACCGCCTGACGCAGAGGATACCTGGTCTTGGCTCCTCAGCTGCCTTCAGGAGCTTGGGCATCAAGAATAGCTTGAGGCAACGCTTGGGATCTAAGGAGAATGCGAAAGGTCGCGGCACCATCATGGTCGATGGCCATACGTACGATGAGGCCTGATCTGCAGTCTGGAGTCGTCCTGGAGCAGATGATGCTGACAAATGCCGAGGCTGATACTTTGGAGCGTGATTTCGTCGAAGGACGACTCTCGGAGGAGGGTCTCAAGAATGCTTGCATCGAGAAACTGAACCTTTGGCTAATGTAGTCAACCTTAACAGGGCCCGGCACTGCTCTGGATAGTTTTTGGGCTGCATGAAGCTGAGGAATGCCATCATGCATGGTTGCCGGCAACATTTTGCTGAGGATGACGAGTGGCGGGGACAAAGATGGGTTTTGAGGCATGTTTTGTGCGCAGGACAAGGAGGCTTCTGACCTGGTGGCGCTGGTAGAGCAGCACAAGGCAGAGGTGCAGCGCGAGAAGGAAAGCGGTGAGGTGCCCTTCCTTTGCCTTTGCCGCAAAGTGCAAGGCGAGGCGAGGCGTGGGGAGGGGAGCTTGTAGCCTTGAGGTGCGGCCAGCTCCACTCCGGAGCCTCCAAGTCTTCGAGGCGTTTTTCTCACAGTCTCCCATCCCTCTACGTTTCATGCGTTTCATGGGCGAAATACTCAGAGTGAGGCTCCCGTCCAAAGCGCCGGCCTCGTCTTCGCCCCGCGGCCGGGCCCCGACGTCGTGGTCACGGCCGAGGCGACGCTGGCGGCGCTGCGGGGCCTCGTGCGAGCCCAGAGGCGAGCCATGTCTCTTCTTTCAAGCTCTGCTTTCAAGCTGACTTGTCAAGGCATGAGAAGGTGGTTCTTTGGTGCGAAGACTGGTCATGCATAGCCCTGGACAAGATGAGTGGCGATGTCAAGGTCAGAAGACCACATCTGAGTTGAAAGCACAATGCTGGACTCTGCAGGCCATCCGGGCCTACTATGACATTCTGGCAGAATCTGTGAAAAAGCTTGCAGCCGAAGTTAAGGTCGAGTTTGAGGCTTGACTCGCACATTGATCGAGGCTCCGGCTGGTTTTGTTTAGTGCAGGTGAAGGTCCAGTCTGAGGAGATCCTCCGTGACCCAAACATGTACTGGAGCCTTGGCCGCATTGTCTTCAGAGCTCCTGAATGTCCAGCTCATGAACCCTTACTCTCGACCTGCTTGCACGATGTCTCCTTGGTCCCAAGGATCAGCGTCATCGACGCTGGGCGGCGCAAGCGGAGGCAAAGTGTAGGGGAAGGTGAGGAGCCTATGATTGGCTTGGAGGAGGCCCCAGCCTCAGCCGCAGGTGCAGAGCCTTCCTCTTGATTACATTTGATTTGCGTTTGATTTGCGGTTGTGTGGGTGACCTCTTTGAAAGGTTGCCGCGCACCTGCCCGAGACTCTGACAGAGAGTGGTCAAGTTGTTGCCCCTTGCCCGCATTTGCCCACATTGCAACAGAGAGTCGACTTGAGCCAACAGGGCGAGTACATTTGCCAGGCCTCGCTCATGCATGTGGCTGATGTGGTTGCCTTGTGCCGCGGGGTACAATGTGCTACCATCTACACAGACGAGCACCTCCAGAAGTATCACCAGCTGGCAAGAAGTTACATCCAGGACCGGAAGAGTATTGCGCGACTCGCTGGAAGTTGGCCCAGCTGGCACCCACTGGCAGGAGAGCTTCAGCAGTGGAGCTCACTCTGGTCAGGTACGTTCACTTGCTGTCTTACGTTGAGCCTCTCTGCTGCATTCTGCTCCACTGCTATGAGGTTTGTGTGTGCGACATAGATGCGGAGAGAGCTCGGGCTCCTAATCTGTCGCTGGTTCTCGGTGAGGGTGAGAGTCTTTGGAACGGCCTCTCGTTCGCAGATGGCGCAAAGCCAGGACTTCATTATTGCTACCCAACCAAGGCAAGATGAAGAAGAGCTATTGTCTCGAAGGCGAACTCGAAAACAACCCCCTAATGGATCTGCTCGACTTGTTGCTGAAATGCAGCCTGCTGGTGCGGGGTCCAAGTTGAGTGCTGCACGTGGCAGCAACCTGCAACAATTTGCAGGGTTGATTCAGGACAGCGGAAGGCCACTGTTGGAAGTGAGACAGAAGGCAGAGCACGGCGGAGCCTGTGCCTGAGACCTGAGTTCGTGGTATTTCTGAGGAAAAAACGCCACTCTGTGCCTGCAGGACAAAGACTACGCCTCCTTCAAAGACGTCGAGGAGGCTTTTGCTCGCAAGGAACTCCATCCTTCGGCCTTCAAGCCTGCTGTACAGGACGCAGAAGATACCAAAAAGCAATCAATTGCTTCAGACTTGAAAAACCGAAGTCACTTCTTTGTGCAGGAGCGCGCGAAGGCCGCACTGGCACCCTTGATGCTGCTACCCAAAGATGCGGCTTTCAAGTGCCTTGGCTCTCCCCAAGCTCTTGGTGCTGGTCGAGTTGACGGCAGCTCAGGAAGCTTTGTGCAACCTTAGACGCGTTCATCAAGGCCCAAAGCAAGAAGGTCAAGAAGTGAGCACCCGATCAGCCGAGCATGTTGGCCGGAAAAAAGGGAAGCACAGTGTTGTGCGTTGTTTTAGGGTCGAAGAGCATTGTTTTCGTTTTGGTGAAACCATCCTCGTCCTGCATTGCTCAGCTGCTGGCTCCCAGAGGAGGGTTCCCGGCTCCCTGCAAGGGCCGTGGGCCCCGAGACGCTTACGAGCCTGGTCCTTGCACTTCTGCCTGTGTGCACCTTGAGCAAGCGTGGCAAGCTTCGTTCAGGTCATGATGCCTTCGCTCAGATCTTAGATTGCTGCGCATCTGCGTGTATGTTGAAGGGCTCTGTGTTTCAGGCCGATCGTGGCCATGCCTGTGCCGGGTGCCGGGTCTCTTTGCCTTCTTGTCTTTTTTGTTAGCATCTGATCACGGCGGCCCAGGCCGGCAGACCAGGAGGCCAAGGGATGAAGGATTCGAAGCACTGGAAGCACTGCTGCATAACTGCCTGAGGTGCGGAAGAAGCCTCCAGGGCACGGAAAAGATGACAAGGCCGGATCGGGTGTGGTCCACAAAGATTTGAGCCTATCACCTCAAGACGCCTGAAGTGAGGTGACGACAGTGTTCGTTGGGGGTCTTCGAAAAAGCACCACTGAAGACAAAGTTATCGGCCACTTCTCCAAATTTGGACAGGCATCAACCGCCCCTGAAGGCTATTGTTCAGATTTGCCGTCATGTTGCACATGCCTGTAGGTGGACAACGTGGACATCAAACGGCTTCCTGATGGGACTTCTCGAGGCTTTGCCTTTGTGAAGTTCGTCGACAGGGAATCCGTTGACAAGGCCAGAAACCGACGCAGAACATTCCTCTTTCGTGAGCTCACGTCCAGATTCTATGTAGCCAGCTGAGAAGAGGGCATCAGTTGCGCTGCTTGCAGGTCATAGAAGCAAAGTCCAGCCACATGATTGACAACAAATGGGAGCAGCAGCCATGCTTGGGACAAAATTGAGGAGTAGAGTGGGAACCCTTTAGATGTTTTTGCAGCTTTCATGGCAGGTGGCTGTCAGACCGCATGGAGGCTCTGCCTTCGCTGCTGTACGGGCCTCTGAACCTCCCGTGTTATCTACAAAGTGTTCCCTGAAGACGCGAAAGGCACAGAATGCAGAGAGGAGTAAGCAGGCGGGTCAGGGCCAGGAAAGGCAAGACCAGGTCAGTTGCGAAGTTTCTCCCGTTGACGGAAAGCAAGCTGAACAGCAAGCGAAGCCGCTGTGAGTTGTATCTTACAGGGGAGGGTTCCGGGGGGGCAGTTATGATTTGCATGCCCGGAGGATTACTCATCGCGAGTTTTTTTGAAGCTTGACTCAATGCTGTGGTGGCTTTTTGGGGTTTCCAGAAGGTGACAGGGGTGACAGAGCATCATCAGCATTATTGCTCCTCCGCTTCTCGTCCAGGGGTCATCGGACATATGTTGGCTTTTGCGCATGTTTTTGTTTTTGAAGCTTCCCCCCATGCTGCTATGCTGGCTTTTGTCCGACAATGGTACCATGCGCAGCAACTTGGGCGCCCGCCACCCGCTCACAGGCCGGTTTTTGTGCTTCCTGAATTCCCTCCGCGCCATCTCCGGCAGCTCACCGCAGCATTTTGGGAGCCCGGTTTGTGTGCTTTTTGTGAAGCGTCCCTGAATTTATGGGGTCTCACTCTTTTTGAAGCTTCCCTGCACGCTGGCCTGGAAACTACAGAAAGGAACAGCGAGCGAAGCCGTTATTGGCGGGGTTTGGGGGTAGCAGTCGTTATTGGCATGCCCTGGGCGGGGCACGACCCTTCAGCATCAGCATCTTTGCTTCCCTGTTTCTCGGCCAGGGCTCAGGGGTCACTGGACACGGGCCGGTTTGTGCGCGTGGAAGCTTCCCCCCACGCTGTTCTGGTTTTATGAGGTCCAGCATGAGCCATCCTAGGACACGAGTGCATTTGGTCACTCCCACATGCATACACACATGCGGAGAGGAGTTTTGACATGTTCTTTTGAAAGCACTCAAGCAAGGGGCAGAGACATGCATACAGACTCCTTTGCTAATAAAGCTGGTCTGTATGTGAGAGGATATGACTGGGCATGCTCGGTGCCGGCGGTTTGTCTGCGATTGGCCAGGGTGTGGGCTACGTTTTCAGATTCAGCGAAATCTCAACATTTACAAGGGTGAGGCATCCAAACCTGGTGGCACTCACACATTGCTGGGGTGAGGTATTTAGAACAATTTCCTTGCAGTATTCTTGCCGTGCATCGCATCCAAAGAAGCTACGATGGTCAAAGTGTTGGGTTCTCATGAGTCAGCGCTGGAGAACATGAAGGCCGCCCTCATGATCCCTGTCTTTGTTCCGAAGCCCCTACACGACGTTATCGAGACGGCGGCCAAATCGTGGAAGGATAAAGCCAAGCCTGGTGAAGCTCACCCTGACAACAAGCCCGGAGAGATCATCGGCTTACTGGTTGGAAGCGCAGAATCAATGCTGATCTTAAGTTTGTTGCTCGGCAGCCGTCGGTGTCGAATTGCTCACTCGCCATGGTCTTGGTTGTGAGGCTGCTGTTGAGGCAATTGCTGCGTACTGGAACCATTCTTGGAATACGGTCCTCTGTGCGGACAATCAATGAGCACATTTTTCAAGATACTCTCATAAGGAGCTGTACAGTAGCGAGTGGCGTTCAACACACCGATGCATGGTGTCTGTATGCTCAAGGTTCTAGTGTGGAC